CAAACCACCACAAAACTTAGCACTTTAAATCAACATTCATTTCTTATTTATCACAAGACTATGAATTGGCTGCATGGTTCTGTTGATTTGGGTCAAGCTGAGCTGATCTCAGCTGGAATCGCTTATAAATATGTTAGCTGGAGAATCCACTAGAGGCTGACTGATCTGGAATGTCCTTAGCCTAGATAAGAAGGCCCTGCTCCATGTGTTCTCTCATTCTCTGGCCGACAAGCCCAAACTGGTTCTAATGGCGAAGGCAAGAGTCCAAAAGGGAGCAGAAGCACACAAGTCTTCTTAAAGATGCAATCTATTGGCCAAAGCAAGTCAGGGGTAACCTAGATTTAAAGGGTTGATTAACAAATTCCATCTTCTAAAGGAGGGAGCTGCAAAGTTACATGGCAGAAGATGTGGATATATAGATAGTGATGGAGAATTGGGACCACTTTTGCAATTAAGCTGCCAGACTGGTCAGTGTTCCACATTTTGCATTCTTTCTATTCTTTGTTAGTTCTGCTGACAATCTGGGCAGATTTTTTTTTTCCTGAGCTCATCTCTTTCTTCTAATAGCTTGACAAATGTAGCTAGTAACAGATAACACACACTGTTGAACATTCTATTTTCTAACTCTTTCCCCTAGGCTCTGTAAGCACTTGAACTACCTTTCCAGGTTATCAAAGATGACAATTTTACGTGATGTTTTGCCACTGTGTAACATGGGTCTCCATCTTTTCACTCCCTACTGTCAGATCCACACCTCATTCCTCCCAATTGCTATGCAAATTCCAAAAATTTGTGCCTTGTTTTGGCAGTTAGTTAACCATTTCAGTGCACCCAGTTTCTATGTTTGTAAAGTAGTACTAGCATGTGTGACAAACCCTAAAATCTCAAGATCTTGAAAGATATTTATTTCTCATTCGTGTAATGTCCAAAAAGAGGATTATTGATTGGTATTGATGAAGGAATAGTTCAACACTTTCTTACACAGCCACTTTGAAAGCCAATCTCTTCTGTTTCAACCTGTGACTTCCAAAATTGCCTTGGGCATATATCTCTACCTGGACAACAGAGGAAGAGAGAGATTAGAGGATTCATAGACTTTATAAAATACTTCCACTACATTTCATTGCCAGAAATCAGACTCAAGTCATGACTAATTACATATGAAAAAAGGAAAAACAAATATGAGTACCTAGAAAAAAAAATAAGAAATTGATTTTGGGAAGCCCTGAGATTCCCAGTCTCTGCTATATGCTCTATTTTTTGAAAAATGAAATTGCTTTAAAATTTTGAAAAACACTAATATAAAATTTGAGTCATTAAATTAACAAAACTATCTAAAAGCTAATGTTTAAACATTTATCAAAAGAGTATAGACCTTATTTCCCAATAAACATGGAACTTGCACAAAAATTTATCCTACAAAGAGCTACAAAGATCATTCACCAAGTTCCAAAAAGCACAAAGTATACAAGCCACCCTAGGTATATAAACATATAGCATGTGGCTACAGTTGATATCAAAGGCAGAGACAGTCATGTATGCTTTTGTTCTTAACCATAAGATAGTAAATGTATTGATCATTTAGCTCAAAAAGGTAGAGAGTACAATATAAATATGCTGAATCAAGAAAGAGAAATCAGTAAATAAAACACAGAAATTCATGAATTAAAAAACAAAAATAAATAGAACAAAATGTTTATTTTAAATACCAATAAAATAGACAAACCTCTGACAAAGCTAATCATTTGAACAATCTTAGCCATAACTAACGTTTATTGGGTACTCACTATTTGCCATGTGTTTGGCTAAGTAATTTATCTTGCTTAATCCTCAAAATAATATTATGAGCATCATTTATTTATTTATTTCATAAAGATGTATTAAGTACTAGCTATGTGTCAAACACTCTGTGAGCATATTGCTGAAAAAAGAAATGAAGTCACTGCCCTTTAGATGTTTGCATTCTAACAGAATAAATACATACCCCCATTTTACAGTTGGAGAAACAAAAACTCAGATCACATAGCATCTTTGCATCTGAATTGTATTTTAATCTAGCTTTCCCTGCCAGGCCATGATCCTAGATAACACAATGCTACCTCTGTGGAGAAAAGAAAAAAAAAATAGAGAAAACATATATTTATCCCATTAAAATTATAAAGAAAATACAAACGTTGTCATCATCGTTGCTAACATTTTTTTTCTTTTTTGTTTTGCCTGCTCACTCTTTGCCAGGAACTTTAAATCATTTAATATTCACAGTAACCCTCTGAGATAGGTAGTGATATCCCTATCATATTTTACCCTTGAGGAAACCAAGGCAATGAGATAATAAATAAGTTACAGTTGCAGGGCCAGCTTTTACAATCAGAAATTCTGGCTATGGAACCCGCACTTAACCACCACAACATGCGACCACTCTTGATTAAATAATTTTTGTACTTGTAAATAATGATCATTTATATTACTTTTTGCTCAAACATTGACATTATGGATCAAATAGTTGATTTTCTAGAGGAACATGAATTATCAAAATTGATGTGAACAGAAATTTAAACACCATATAATTAAAGAAAATATAGAAGAAATCGAAAACACTGTCAAATAATTACTGCCATTGATAATATCAGATCCAGATAGAGACTTAGCAGTGTTCCAAGGAACACATAAATTCCCCACAATTGAACTGATGCATTTATCAAACTATCATCCATCACAGTGATACTAAATCTGCTGAAGGTGTAAATAAACCAACCAACTCATTAATAAATAAGCATACAAACAAATCAACAACCTAATAAGCTATAGATAATCTCACTGTGAGTATAGATGTAAACATCCTAAAAAAAAATCACAAATCAATTTTAATATATACAAAGAGAATAATATGCCATGCCCATCTAAGGGTTATTCTAAATGCAAGGTTAAAGATTTTTGGATTCTGGCAATATGTACCTTAACAAACAAAAATTGCCAACTCTTTAATCTAGCAATTTTAATTCTCTGTTTTATTCTTAAGGAACAAGTCAGAAGGTGTTAAAATATATGCAGGAGTGTTTGTCATATCCTTGTTTAAAGTAGTGAACATTGCTATATTCTACAAGAAAAAATTAATGGGAACATATCTTACACTGAGTAATTATAATCCATGGCAGAATATTGTAAGAGATATGAGTAGTATAAGCAAAGCACTTAGTTATTTAAAAGAAAAACTGCCAGCTGGCTGTACAAATAAGGAAAAGACTTCGCTGAAGAAAAGGCATTTAGGACACATCTCAAAGGATTAGTAAGGTTTTAACAGATATGATTGGAAACACAGAGAGATGTGTTTCTGGGTTAGAGGCTGTAGAAGGAAATAGTGAGAAATCAAACTGAAAAAGTAGGCTGTGTCCAGAGCATAGAGTGCATTAAAAATACATAGTAATAAATAAATCAGTGGAACAGAACTGAGAGATTGAAACAGATTCAAGTATGTGGGAACCAAGTATATGATAAAAGCAGAATTTCAAGTATCGTGGGAAAAGGATTTTATTTAATAATGCTGAAATAATTATATTATTATTTAAGTTACTATGTAAATTAGATTCCTTATCTTAAAAATATGAATACAGTCCAGATAGATTAAAAATCCAAACACCTCAACATAATTTTAAAAAATACTTTAAGAATTACTTATAAAATATTGGCATGAGCCTAGGTTTAAAGATAGTTTTCTAAATAAGCAAAAAATCCAGAAGTACAATGGGAACTATAGACATGTTTGTTTCTCACAAAAAAGTTTGTAAATTGTATCACAGATGCCATCACAATACACTAGAGAGGAATATTTCTGAGAAACAAAGTCGTGATGGCCCTAATGTATTAAAAAACTCTAAGAAATTAATTTTTAAAGATGCAAACTAAAAAGAAAAATGAGAAAAATAGCATAAGCAGACAATTCTCAGAAAAGCAGATGCGTACGACCAATAAGATTATGAAAAGATATTCAACCTTCTTAAAGTTGAGGGAAATAGCCATTAAAATAGCAACAAAATATCATTTTTTACCCATCCATACTGACAAACATTAAACAGATTGATCACATACAATGCTGGCAAGGATCTGGGCAAACAGTCTCATACATTACTGATAAGTGTGGAAACTGCTACTATATTATTGAAAAACAATCTAGCAGTACTTATTAAAATGAAAAATGTGCATGCCCCTTGGTCCATCAATCCCACTTTTGTGAACGTCTGCTGCAGATAATAAAAGCAATAGTACATGATATATGTGCAAGGTTGTTTATAGAAGTTTGTTTTTTTTTAGTGGCCAGAAAAAAAAAATCCAAAACTGGGACTATGCTGGATGTCTAATTATAGAGGGTTAATTCTGATAACATCCACATCCACACAATAGAATAATATGTAGCTATTACCCAGAATAAGTCAGGCCAATATTTATTGGATTTAATACTTTAATAATAAATAGCAAGTACACAAGATTTACATTTATTAAAAAAATAACAAAAATAACTCATTATATGTATGTGTATATATGCATCATAGAGACAACGTGGGAGATTACAAACAAACCCTGTTCGCTGCAGAAAGAAGAGCTTTGCAGGGGTGGGGAAGGAAATGTTTCTGAATTTATTTAAGTCAGGGCTCTTGTTTGACTTGTTGCAATAAGCACATATTATTTTAGCAATTTCTCCAAATTACTTTTGTCATGTAAAAATTCTAACGAAGTTTTTAAAAATAAAGTATAATAATTAAAATGTACAAAATAATCGTCTCTGAATTGCTTTCCTGAAGTAGAAAAGGAAACCATCCCTTTGTAATCTAACTACTTAACAGACAATCCACATGAAAAGTGAAGGGTATTAACCAGCACATGGTCCTTAATTGTGATTACATTTTATGGCACTTAGCCTATTACGTGCTTAAATTACCAGATAACAGAATCTATGTTCCTAATAGTGGAAAGTATATTAACAGTATTTTTGCTCCCTATTGTAGCCCTGTTCCGACAATCACATGGATGAAGGTTAATGGTTATATTCCTAGTAAAGCACGTCTGCGGAAATCTCAGGCAGTGCTGGAAATACCAAACGTGCAGCTGGATGATGCAGGCATATATGAGTGCAGAGCTGAAAACGCACGTGGAAAAAATTCCTTCCGTGGACAATTACAAGTATACAGTAAGTGTTCTCGGCAGAGCATGATGCTGTTGTCCCGAGAGTCAAACTGAAAATGCAAATTAATTCAAACTAAATATTGTTTGTTAGATACATAAAATCCAAGTAGTAATTTATAAACATACCTTTTTGAATTTTAAAGTATCATGTAAAATCATGCCACACAGAGAAATGCTTTAAATTAAAAATGAATGGGAATTATCAGAGTCTTTGTACAGCACAGAGTATTTATATCCTTAAAAATGAGATATTTTCCTGGCATCAGATGTATCCTCTGATAAGTTAAAAATCTTGGAACTTTTTTGAACTTATTCAAGCCCTTGGTCCAAATCAGGGGTATACAAGCTATTGCTCACGGGACCAAATCCTGCTCAGCTGCCTGCTTTTGTAAATAAAATTTTATTGGAACACAATCGCATCCTTTCATCTATATATTGCCTATATTGGCTTTTGTGCTGCAATTGCGGAATTGAATCGTTGAGAAAGAGACCAGCTGGCTCACAAACCTAAAACTTTTACTGTCTGGCTGTTTATAGAAAAATTTTGCTAACCCCTAGCCTAAATTAATATGTCTGTATAACAAATAGCCTCTATGGTCTGCAAGTGTTTATATTGTCCCCAAAATGCCAAAGAGCCAACCAGGCTGTCTTTAAGAACTGGGGAAATCTGGTTCAGAAATATCTACAATCTCATCTTTACTTCTAAGGATCACAAATCGTATCCACTTTTCCTATTTGCTTTTATAATATTTGCTACCCATAGTGGGTAGTAGGTGATAGTTGTCTCATTTTCCAGGTGAGAACACTAAAAAAGAGAGGAATACAATAAGCCAGAATATTCATATAAGCAAATACAGATGCTGATTCCACCAAGTAAACGTGACCATCACTCTATCTTATGATCAGTTCTCCTAAAAAATATAACGTCCTTTACAAGGACACTTAAAGAGTATTTGGAAATGCTAATACCTGAATTCAACCTTTATTTCCTTCTTTCTAATAACTCCTTTAGTAATCCAGCACTCCAACCATATTTGCTATGCCATTCACATTTTATTTATTCATTCATTTATTCATTTAATGTTTAATAAATGCCTATTACTCGCTCTAAATGCTAGCTATGTTCCATTGAATTAGGTCAAAAAAAACTCGACATTAGAGCTGAGCATGCTATGTTCTGTGATAAAGGCATGTACAAAGGATTATGTGAGCACAGTGTGTACTTCATTCTTCTTCTGTAAGTCAAAGAAGCTTTTAGACACGCTCTTTACCTTAAAGGCTAAGCAAGGGAAAGCACCCTGAAACAAAGGGACAAAGAGCCATTTAAAATTTTTTACCATTGTAGCACTAGCACACATTTGTTTAATTTTAGGCCATTGTTGTCATACTTGGAGCCCTGGTAGCACAATGGTTAAGAGTGCAGCTACTAACCAAAAGGTGGGCAGTTCGAATCCATCAGCTGCTCCTTGGAACCCCTTTGGGGTAATTCTACTCTGTCCTATTGGGTTGCTATGAGTAGAAATTGACTCATCAGAAATGGGTTTGGTTTGTATTTTTGATGTTCAATTTGGATGAAATCTACAAAGAACACAGTTTACAATTCCTTAACACAAATATTAGGTGGGCTTTCTGATCATAAACAAAAAAACCATTGCCATGAAGTTGGTTCTAACTCATAGCAACCCTATAGGACAGAATGGAATGGCTCCATAGGGTTTCCAAGGTTGTAATCTTTATAGAAGCAGACTACCACATCTTTCTCCTGTGGAGCAGCTGGTAGTTTTACGAGCCACAGACCTTTTGGTTAGCAGCCGAGCAGTTAACCACTATGCCATCAAAGCTCCTTTTTCTAACCATAAAAAAACCAAACCCATTGCCATCAATTCCAACTCACAGTGACCGTACAGAACAGAGTAGAACTGTCCCACAGGGCTTCCAAGGCTGTAATCTTTACAGGAGCAGACTGCCACATCTTTCTCCCTTTCTAAATATAGGGAGAATAAATGATGCTTCTGTTCCCCAATGGAAAAATGATTAACATTCCAATACATTATGTCAGTTTATCCTCACAGTAACAGTGTGAAGTATTACTAGTCCCTCCTTACAGATTAAAATTTGATAATGAAGAACAAGAGCTTAACCAGAACTTTGCTACTCAAAACCACAAAATGTAAAAGAAGTGCCTGTTACTTTTAGGGTCAGGAGGGAAAGTCCCAAATCTCCCTGTGTCTTGAAGAATGGCCCACACCTAAATGAGAATTTGATTGTACGGTTTGGGGTCAGGGGCTCCTGCAAGGCCTCCCAAACCACACTAGCTACTAGATTCATAGGCAATAATGATTATTGCCAGGAAAGTAGGTTTAAAAAAATTTGAAAAAAAAAAACTGCTTTCATTCAATATTACTCGTGTCCCCTCTGGTGGGAGGGTGTGCTAGTAAGAAACAGTCTGTGGGCTTTCTTTGTCATGCACAATTAGATGTACACTGTGAGCCAGGCAGGTAAAGACAGAAATAGAAAAAATGACTTTGATTGTTGCCCAGCAAAAGAAAGTGGGCCAGTTAGCTACTTGGCATATGTTTCTGCCAGTTTAGGGAAGGTATCTTAGAAGCATGTGACGGTCTCATTGTAGCAGGCTCCATCAGGTGCCATACATCTTGGTTTGCCCTAAATAGATGTCAGCTGCCCTGGGGCAGTTATGGACGGTGCCCTATTTCATTTATAGAAGTATCTCAGTTACCACATGGTCACCCTACTTTTGTACTTTGAAAAATGTTGGTGTTTGATTAGAGAGCTTTTCTCTTTGCCAAACTATCTAAAACATAGAAAGAATCTTGGCCACCATTTCCAGCTGGCTGGCAGTAGTTACAGAATGGCATGAGGCATGAATATTCCACTGCTTCCATGGTTTATATTTAGAATCATCCCTCAGTAGAATGGGTCCTGTTGGAAACTGTAGTACCTGGTCTTCTCCTATTGGAAAAAAATAGAGGCTAACTTTTTTTACACAAATTATCAGTATTTACAAAGAACAAGGCTTTCCTGACGTGAGGGTATGTTTTTTTTGGAAGTGTAATTATGGGAATGTTTTGCCTGCTCATATCTTAGACTCTAAAGATGAGCCAGGGTTCTAAGGCTGCGTTTCTAGACCCACTTTATTTTTTCCAAAGCAGTACACAAGTGAGCGCTAAAGTAGATGGTAGACATAAACTTAAGCCACATTTGTTATTATTTATGACTCAGCATCTGTGTTGTAAACATGATACAACAGAATGAAGCAATATAAATAAAGAGATACATGGTAATTAAATACATAAAAATTAAATTCACATGTCTAAATCAACACAAACATAGGTTTGAAAAAATTATACTCATAAAAATTAAAAAAAATACTTGTAGCAAAAAAAGAAAACACAAAATTTTGAAAGTTCTTTGAACCGTAGAATAAAATGCATACTTATTGTATTGAATCTGTCTTTTATTTATAATATAGTTTTGTGGGTGAAATAATTTATTTGGTTATTTCTATCCCCTTTAGTATCTGATGATTGATCAAAAAGACCTAGTTTTAACTAGCTAATCAGATTTTAAGTCCTTATATTTCCCATGTAAGTTGAATATTACTTGTGAAGGCTGTAAATTAAAAAGAAAAGAAATAATGAGAGAACAAAAGGAAGAAAAACAGAAGGAGAAAGGAAAGAGAAAGAAAGATCAAATATCAAACATCTTTAAGCAGCTTTACATTGTAAGGAACTCTCATAATGGGAGGTAGTATGTGTACAGAAAAAAATTATATAAATATGTGTAATCTATAATTTTTGACTGTATATCAGGTGCCCAACCAACTAGTATTTTGTCATTCTATGGAGTAAGGTCATTGTGTATTGTTTATAATTACTATTGAGATTAAAGATATGTCAGTATTAAAACATACCTATAACCAAAGTGCTTAGAATACAATTACACAGCATAGACTAAATATTCAATAAGGAGTACAGTTTTATTTTAAGTATAGTGTAGTATTATAGATTTCTTTATTTTTTTAAATTTCTAGACTGCATCCTCAGAAAGGTTAATGACTTCCTATAACTCCAATTTGATTGTAAATTTTTCAAGTCGAACACTATGTTTTTTATTTTTATTTTTTTCTATTTCTTTTTAGAACTGAAAATGATGTTCAGCACACAGTGGATAATTTTTATTAAAACTCTACAGCTATTAGAAATATTAACAGCTTAGTTATGCACATTATTCTACAATATACATTAAAAAGAATGGGTGAAAGTCAGGAGAGACTAAAGAACTGATGAAGGAAACCATCATATTTTTACATAAATAAGGCATGGCTTCTACATTTGTTTGTCAACTTTGCCCTCCCTCCATGAGGTATTTTCATAAACGTGCTATGTGAAAAAATTAGCATAGTGCACTTATGAAAATACCTCGTGGGGGTGAGGGTTCAGCTGGCAAACATAGAAGGTCCACATTAATTGTGTAAGAAGACAGCAATAATTGTCAAGAACTTATATTCTAGACACTACCGTACCAATAGATATTTTGCATACATTAACTCACAATAACCTTTAGGTATTAGAATTCCCACTTGACAGATAAGGAAACTAAAGACTAGAAAGGTTAAGAGGCTTATTACACAAGGTCCCATTGCTAATGAACAGTAGAGCCAGAATCCAACTTAGAACTGGAACTGATGCCACAGTTCAGTCTCTCTCTTCCCCATCTTTGCCCCTGCATAACTATATAGTCTGCTATCTCTCAGTAAGACATTGAGGACCTGAGCTAAGGCAAGGAGAATAGCGTGGAGAGTGGTTGCTTCCTATTTACCACACTTTTTTTTTATGTTAGACAAAACTGTGGAAATATGAAAATCTTTGTCATTAGTTCTCATTCTCTATTATTCTTTTCTTGGCAATTTTGCTTAGCTTTGTTAGGCAGGATTTATAAAGATGTTTTAGTTATTAAAATATATTAAGGATTTATTGTAGAAAATGATATAAAATCTAGACCCCTGATGACTGATTTTCTAAATAAAGAAAATTTCTCAATCCTATTTCTTTGGAGAAACTTTCTCACACTGAAATTTATTATGAAAATGGTGCCGTATGTATGTATGTATGTATGTGTGTGTGTATGTATGTGTGTGTCTATATATATATATATATATAAAATGATAGAAAATAAAGATCAAGCTAATGCATGGACAATGGATTCAGTGATGTGAGTGAAATAACCAATATTTATTATGTCCAGTTATCATAGTACCCAAAAACCAAACCCACTGCTGTGAAGTTTATTCCAACTTATAGTGACCCTTATAGGGTTTTCAAGGCTGTAAATTTCTACGGAAGCGGACTGCCGCATCTTTCTCCTACAGAGCTGCTGGTGGTTTTGAATCGCTGACTTTTCAGTTAGCAGTCAATCACTTTAACCACTGCCCCACCAGGGCTCCTTAATCATCCTAAAAAACAAAAACCCATTGCCCTCGAGTCAAGTCCAACTTACAGCGACCCTATAGGACAGAGCAGAACTGCCCCCACAGGTTTCCAGAGAGCAGCTGGTGGATTCGAACTGCTGACCTTTTGGTTGCAGTGGAGCTCTTAGCCACTGTGCCACCAGGGCTCCATTATCATCATCATAGTAGCCATTAAAATAGGAATTGCTATCTCAGCTTGGAGATGAGATTCATTAAGATTAAGTAACTTACTTCTGATCACATATTAGGGCAAGGGCATAGTAGCACTGGGATTCAAACCCACATACACCTCCATGATTATCCTCTTTTCAATATACCACATTTTCTCTCACAGGCCCACAGGTGAGAGTTATAATATTGAAAGTGATCTATGTGAATAAAATATACTGACTCCTTAGTACTTGAGCAAGGAAGGAGGCCAATAACACTTAGCATTTATCAGTAGGGAGCTACAGAATATAGATAATAAGCAAGAGTTTTCTTTATGCACATCTGCTTAGTGTTTTGAAAAATGTAACCCAGAGACTGAGCTGAAGCTCAAATGCATTACACAAGTAATGTACACTGTCTTCTGGTGATATTTTTAAAAGCTCCTGGGTTTAAACTGCCGTATGTCTCCTCAGGTTCCCACACCCTAAAATAGGTAACCTGACAAAAGCTAGATAGATGTAGTTATTCAGTTTGCTTTGAACGTGGTCCACCATGGAATTTTCTTTTTCAGATGGAGCATTGATTCCCCACCATCCAGACTACATCTTGTTATATGTTAACTCTACTTTATTATTATTCAAAAGCCAAAATCATTGCCATTTCATTCCCTGAAATCCTTTGCCAAATAAAACTTTTAAGTGTAACTTTTGTGCCTTTTATTTTATATTACCAATAATTTTCTTGTTATTCTAAGCAATTTAAAAATACCTCACTGTCTTTTATGCCTCATGGCCTAAGATGAACATTTCAGGCCATAATCCAGTTTTCCATTTTTAAAATTTTTATAAATTCAACCATTACTCCTTTGCATAATTCTTTTTGATTCATACAGTACAGACCTAGTGGTTTATAAAATATCTTGCAATGTAAAAACAAAATCTATTGTGAAATTCAAGCTGATCTTGTATTACACATAACTAACATTCTTTAGGTATAACATGAAGGATGACAATTCATATATCCAAATAGCATGAATGTTAATTAATGTTTATTCAATTACGACATTCACATCATTTCTCCAGTATGGATCTTAACTCCATTATAGCATGATCCACAACCCACATTCCATTTATGATTTGTTTGTGTGTGTTTCTGTGTTTGTGTGCATATGTGTGTATGTGTGTGTTTGTCTGGATTGCTTAAAATCTTTTATATTAAATCAATTAGTGAGCAGTTTATATATACTAATTGTATATGGCATCTAGAGAAACAGCCCAGCAATACCTCCAATTTATATTGTTTCAATTTTTTATATTATTGATTATATGTATATACATACATATATGTAGCTATATATGTAGATATGGATTTTATACATACAGAATAGCTATGGCACAAAGATTCATAAACCAGGGAGAGTAATAGTAAAATCACACTGATCTTTTATCAGTCAAGACTTGATAAATTGAGAGCTATTTTTAAATTCTAGGGACAGTGTAATAGGCCCTTTTTATTTGTGGAATTGTTGGTAGAGTGAATTTGGATAATATTTTAATTTCCTGTCTCTCTCACCCACTAGATTTTGAACTGACAGCAAAGAGACATTGTGACATATTTATCTTTGTATTTCCAGTACTAAATGTTGTGTGCATAGTGGTGTCCAATAAACATTTGAAGAAGAAAGGAAAGCAAGAATTAATTCATTTTGTTCCATTGATCATTTGTTTGATTCCTATAACAAATTCATCTTGTAATTGTAACTCTAAGTTAGGTCATTTTATAGAATAATACAAAATACGTTTGTAAAGATACTATATTGATTTCTAGTTGTTTTACTTTTCCAGATGACACAATCTGTTTGTATTTTTTTAATAGATCTCTCTTTCCTAGCTTTTCATTTTAGTAACTTTTTAAGATCTCTTTTCAATTCGTGTTTAATTTCCATAAGCTGCATATACCAGTGCTATTCATAGTATATTAAAAGATGGATTAATCAGTATAACCAACCAAGATTTATAATCAACTATTATATATGGGTCAGTGTTGTGTCTAAAAGAATGTCTACGTCATGTCAACTCTGGTCCCGATGATCTTTCTGTCTAGCTGGGGTGTCAAACCATAGCCAACTGATGTAAGATAGTAATGGAAAAAGGGTAACACACCAGCATATAATTATTTTCCAAGTAAATAAAACCCATAGGGGTTCAGAGACAATGCAGATGATTGCCATTTGAATTTGGGATTAATATAATTTAGATTAAATCTTGAATTATGGGTAAAACTAAAAGAGATAGAGAAGTAGACTATCCCTTGGAAGTAAACAACTTGAACAAAGTACAAGGTGTGCATGGGAGACAGCAAACCCATCTACTTGGAGTATAGGGACCATGCATAGTATAGTCCATAAAAGTAGGGTATGAAAGTTTATAGAAAGCCCAAATGTGAAAGTAGAATTTAATACTGTTTTTGTACCTTACCATTGCTATCAGTATTTGTAGCATATATGACATGTAACTACAAAGAGACAGATTTCAAATTCAGGCACAAAAGTCTGGGTCAATATTTGAGACTCACTAGGTTAAGATTTTTGAGGTAGCTTTTAGGCTTAGACATTCAATCACTGAGTGTATTCAAACATCTAGAAACCCTGACTATGCCCAGGTAGAGCTCCTTAAAGACCAGACTACATTGGCTAGAAGACCAATAAACTATTAAAAACAGAATTCTCATTTAGAGAGAAGCAGGAGTTAAAATATGTGAAGAATAAAGCAACTGCTACCAATTCACCTTTGACTCTGCCAGAGTGGGATGGTAGTAGTGTGAGTGCTCTGGAATCAGAAATACCTAGATTTGAAAGTGACTTCTAACCCTTAGTTGACTTCATGACCTTGGGTAAATTTACTTAACCTTTTTTAGCCAACTTTTCCTTATTCATAAATTGGGATCTATTTGTTTTAAGGATTAATGTTATAGAGGTCAAGAATTTAGCACAGTGTCTAGGACACTGTAAAAAACCAAAAAAAAAAAAAAAAAAACCAAACTTGTAGCTATGAAGTCGATTCCAACTCATAGTGTCCCTATAGGACAGAGTAAAACTGCCCTGTAGGGTTTCTAAGGAGCACCAGGTGGATTTGAACTACCAAACTTTTGGTTAGAAGCTAAACTCTTAACCACTATGCCACCAGGATTTCAGAACATGGTAGGCACTTAATAAATGAGAGTTCCTTCTCTTTTGCTCTTTCTCCTTTCAAAACTGGCTTTGGTTTTGGACATCTATTGTCCCTTTAGACCTGTTATTTTGACATTCATGTGTAGTTTCTTTCAACACATATTATCTCCTGCTTTACTCTATCCTTTTGCTTAACACTGAATTTAGACCTACCTCAGTATAAACTCCTTAAATGTAGGACTAAGATGTGCATCTGTATCCCTAACAGCCTCTAGGATTGAGCAAGGACAAAATAATATGAGGTGAATGAACATATGAATGAATGAACGATCAAGTCCTAATTAGCATAGATAAAGTAAAATACTGTATATTCTTGTACCCAAAAAAAATTGCTAGAAACAATCAATTCAGTTTAATATTTTTTCATATTTATTGCTTCATGTTTTTTAAACAAAATACTTTTAGTCAAATAGTCATTCATAGTCACTATTTTTAATTTAAAAATCAGTCAGTAGAGGAAAGACTTTAACTTGTAATCTTAGGAATTTCATACATTTACAACATTATCCCTTTTTTATATAGGAGATTTTTTATTTAACTCATAATTTTGAAAGCTTTTTAAAAAAAATACTTCATTATTGTAGAATACTAGTAAATTAAGAAATGTATTTTATACCAAGTAAAATCTGAGTTTACAAATTTCTTTTTCAATTAAAAAAAAAAAAAAGCAGAAAAGCAAAGAAGTTGCTCAGCAAACAGACTTGCTGTATTACTTCTGCTTGTGCTAAAGCTGTCCCAATTCTTTGAAAATGCAATACCTCTGCCTAAGTACCTGACTTCCCACTACAGAAGTTCCTGTGCCTCAGGGAAAATCAAACCACTTGCTTTAAATTGGGTAAAGAAAACAGTAACATATCCCACTACACTTTCCTTACAAAAGCATTTTAAATTATCAGAATCTTTCACTGCTATATGTATTTTTACACAGTAAATATTGTTCTGTGTGTAATGTAATACTGTGTTTCTTCCAAACACCTATGGTTAATGAATTGCTAAAAAATTGCATTGAATATTTCCATGTGAAATTGGAACTTGTTAAACAGTGTTTGAGAGATAAAATCACCTTTCTTTAATGCTTGAATACTTACAGCCTACCCACACTGGGTAGAAAAACTGAATGATACTTATTTAGACAGCGGAAGCCCTCTCCGATGGGAATGTAAGGCCACTGGAAAACCCAGGCCCACATACCGCTGGCTGAAGAATGGAGTTCCCCTCTCGCCTCAGGTACTGTCAGTAAGTATTAACTTGTTTCAGTGTAATTTTTGGCATGATTTCACACAGGAAAAACTAGTTTTCTTCTCTTAGTTTTATTGGAAACCATTTCCTACTTCTGCCTTATATTTCAATTGAGAAATATAATAAATACATTAAAAAAATTTTCTTTTTACTTAATCACCTCATTATCTTTTTGGATAATAGTGTTTCTGAAATTTTTTTCAATCCTATGAATTCATAGGAAAATATCAATGATTATCATAGGATCCTTGCAGTTTCTAGCTGCCTTTAGTTGTCATGTAGGTCATTGCTGTCACTTTACATGATGAAGTTAATCGCCAGAGGTAAAGCGACATGCCCAGAATCACCCAGCTAGACAGACGGTGAGATTGGAGTAGAATCCTCGTCTCCTGTGTGCTGGGCAGGGTTCTTTGTATGACATCCTGCTATCCTAGACTTATTTATTAAGGCATTAAATGTTATTTGTCTTTTCAGTAAATCTACCATATATTTTAAAAACAACTTAATATATATTGGATTTAAAAATAAATCAATTACTATTTAACATTGAAATGACAATAACAATTTTAACTTTTTTGCTTTGTTGTGACCTTTTCAGAGAGGGAATAGTTCACTATTTGTGGACAAAATGGAAGGAGAAGTACAAGTCATTGAGACTCTGAACAGGTTCTGCACAGGTCCTACCACTACTCAGGGGACCTCTTGCCTGTCATTTACCTCTTTGGGCTTCAATTTTTTCCTTTTTAAAATGTAGATTGGATCAGATAATCCCTACAGTTCTACCCAGCTCCAATATTCTCTTATCCTAAAACCAGTTAAAAAAACCATTTGCCGTGAGGTCGATTCCAACTCATAATGACCCTATTGAACAGAGTAGAACTGCCCCATAGGGTTTCCAGGGAGCACCTGGTGGATTTTAACTGCCAACCTTTTGGTTAGCAGCAGTAGCTCTTAACCACCACACCACCAGGGTTTCCTTAAGACCAGTTAGGCCAAAACAAATACAAACATAGAAAAGGGCACAAATAACAAGGACTACAGAGCTGTTAAAGAGAACTAGTAAAAAAAATTCCTGAGACATTGATTCATTGGTTTTTTCTCTGTAGTTTTCCTAGGATACCAGAGAAGCCTTGGAAAGGGGCTATGCTGGTCACATTATCTACCCCCAGTGTCCAAGTAAAGTAAATTCTACTGGCAGATAATACTTCTGCTATTTGAATGGGCGTATTTTGAAAATTGTGTCAAATTACTTAGCATCTCTGTTGGTAGACAATCAAAGCACTGCTCACTAAAATTTAAAAAATGATTTGCTTGGCATTAAGTAGACAAAACACCTGGTTGTTTAACACACTTTAAATTTAAAATCTGTCTTAGAAGTGTGCTAATGGCTTCAGTTTACCTTAATATGCACATAATCAATTTTCTGTCTTTTATAGTTTGTTCTGATAATAGAGTTCATACATTCAGACCAATAATTGTATACAAAATCCAGTTGCAGGGCAGTTTGTAGTGTTGTTTTGTTTGTTTGTCTTTGTGTGTGTGTGTGTGTGTGTGTGTGTGTGTGTGTGTGTGTGTGTTAATTTCTTATGAAGTGAGGGAAAAGAAAAACTCCTAACTGGATCAATAAAGTGAAGGGATTCTTGTTATGACCTTGGTTGGCTATTTTTTAGTATGTATCTATAGCCACAATTCTTTCCATCAAGTGTACCCCTGCTCCTCGTTTGTAAAATACATCCAAATATGCTTTTATCTGTGAATTGTGTTTCACAAGCTCCACTGGTGTACCAAAGACAGCTCAATTTAGAAACAAAACCAAAAATAAAACTTTTATGAAACACTCCAGGAAAATATAGCTATTATTTCTTTTCTGTCCAAGAAATAGTTATAATTTATAAGAGACAAGTCATTAATAAACAAATTAATAAATAGTAAATATTGCTAAGTTGCCAAATAATGTTTAACTGCATTAATGCAAAGCTTTTCTTTCTCTGGCCTAGGGGAGAGTACCCACAATATCTGCATCGTTTGTTTACTTTCTAGATCTGATTTTTTTCTCTATTCCATTACAGAGTAGAGTTCAGATGGTTAATGGAGTGTTGATGATCCACAACGTGAATCAGTCAGATGCTGGAATGTATCAGTGTTTGGCTGAAAATAAATATGGAGCCATTTATGCTAGTGCTGAGCTGAGGATTCTAGGTATGCAACTTCTAAGTAAATAAATAGGGGGAAAGGTGGCTTCTTTTCATGCTCTAATTCTTGCTATACTGAAGTTTTATGCTGTGGTTATAAAAGCCTATTTTATGGCTTGAAAAGAAATACTATATCTTGCTGATTCTTCTTTTTTTTTACTTTAGAGGCCAAGTTTACATTGTGTATCATTTGTCCCAAGACTTTGTTTTATAAGATTGTTCACATTTTAGCATTTAATCTTAAAATGTTTACATAATATGGCACTAAAAAGAAATCATATAAAGAAATATATGTTATCTTTCAAGAAAGAATTCTCTGAATCAAAATGTAGATTTCTGGTAGCCTCTCAACCCTCCCATAGCAAGGATTAATGTTTCCCAAGGAGCTCCCCGACTTACCAGTAGGCATGTGGTTCTTGCAAGGCAGGACTCCAAAGCAAATCACCCTCTCCCCATGGGGCCAAAAACCGAACCTAAACCCTTTCCTGCTTGTTGATTCCGACTCACAGAGAACCTTTAGGACAGAGTAGAACTGTCCCATAGGGTTTCCAAGGAGCGGCTGGTGGATTCCAACTGCCAGCCTTTTTGTTAGCAGCCAAGCTGTTAATCACTGTGCCACCAGGGGCATCAACCATTACCATCCTTAAGAGTGAAAGCCTTCCAGAGGCCAGGCCCAGTGGTCTCATAGGGTCACACCCTTAGTAAGAATGTAACCAGGGCACTGGCACTACTTCACCACTCTTTAAATACTACAGGAAAGACCCAATCCACTGGAATAGATACCCCAGATTAAACATATTTGGGCCATTGGAGTTAATCTTATTTTTTCCCACTTTGATGGTTTCCTTATCTTCGGTTTTGGGATGTATGCACTACAAAGAGTGATACTTAAGTTACCTTAACTCACTGTCTTCCAAAAGTGGGCAGGAGTCCAAGGATGCTTTCTACTCCCCACTTAAATTCCCAAAGCATAACATTAACAGAAACACCTAAGATCTCAGGAATCTGGAAACCTACCATTTATACGTTGGCTAAATATATCATAAATCAATTACTGAATTATGAATGTTTGCACTAGAAATTTCTCCACATTACAACATATCCATCCAAAATAGAGTATCCCACATTTCAATTTCCTATATCCTAGCCAATCAAGTATTAATTTACTTTATTGTCAACTCACACTCCAACATTTGTTAGTTAAAGAGTTGATCCAGGCTTCTCCTAGTTGATTGCTTACCCAGAGACTCTTACAAATGTGTTCCTTCTCATTCATTGCATCTATTTTCAAAGATCGCCTTTTGTAAGTTCTATTCCCAGTAAGAAGCCTTGGTGGCACAGTGGTTAAGAGCTCCGATGAGCTACAGCTGCTAACCAAAATGTCAGCTGTTCGAATCCAGTGGCCCCTCCTTGGAAACCCTACGGGGCAGTTCTACTCTGTTCTATAGAGTTGCTATGAGTCGCGATCGACTCGACAGCAATGAGTATTCCCAGTAAGCAACCACAAATGTTAATGCACTTTCCCCATAGGTTTCTTCACTTTTCTTTCTATTTCTTAGCACACCTCAATTGCATGCATAGAATCCTTTTTAATGCTGTTGTGCTATGCATTGTATTGGTACACATGATGGATATAAAATACTTATGAAGTGCCCATGAAATTGTGAGATTGACATAAATAAATGTCTCTGATATAGCACTCAAGTTTACCTATCTTTCAGTTCTCTTTTAGTTTCAAAAATATCATTATAAAAATCTAGTGAAAACAATTTTCATATTAATCAATGATCAGACTTAATGTGAATAATGGCAATAAAAGTTGTTATTGAAATTTAAAGTATTTCATTTGTATTTATTTGAAACTACATCCAATTTTATATGAAATTAAGATACACGGATAGGAAATGGAAGACACAGAACTGTCTTCTTCACACATAACCTTCACCTTTCCAAAGGATGCCCACATAGACTTCCTTGGTTGGCCCCTGATCTTTTGGCCAAGTTGCTCATTAGTCTTTCACAATTAAAATGGATAACATGAAAAAATAATGTCATTTTTTTTTTAAACATGCTTTGTCTGTGGACTCATATTGTATGAAACCATTACCGGCTAATGGAAGGGACAGCCAGTTAAATATCTGTCAATTAAGAAATAAATAAATTAAATGATGAGCTCATGTTTTCCACATGTAGATATATGACTTTATTAGAAATGTATCTCAGAAGAAAAAGTTGCAAAATCTTGATGAATCATCCATTAGAAGCTATTATCATGGTGTTTGGTAGCACTAACATTTTCTTTTTAATAGCTTCAGCTCCCACTTTCGCACTGAATCAGTTGAAGAACACAGTAATTGTTACTAAAGGCCGAGAAGTCATCATAGAGTGCAAACCCCAAGGCTCTCCAAAACCAACCATCTCTTGGAAGAAGGGAGACAAAGCAGTTAGAGAGAACAAAAGGTTAGAAGTCTATTTCATAATTTAAACTCAAAACATCAGACTTGTTGAGGTTGTAAATGATACACACAAAGTATACAAGAAAGTCCTGCAGTAATTGTGAAGTATGTTTTATACACTTACTGAAATAAAGTTTGGTCTATACAAAAAAGTTTTGTCTAAAAAGAGAACCCAGAGTTCCACTTCAGTATGGTTAAACTTCTTTGCCTTCATGTTGTTTCAGCAGCAACTGGGAATTTCACTGGGTTATGAAGAAAGCAAACACTTTTATTAAGCTACTTGATTTAGTTTCTCATTTTGTCTACAGACTAGGGGTCAATAGCTACCTATAAAACTTTTAAGTGGTGTGTTTTCATTTCAATATTAATATAAAAGACAGTATAAACATAATCTGGTTCTTCTATATATTCACCTTATGATAGAATATTGCCAGTGATATTTGGACCTATGTTTGCCTTTTCTTTTTCAGTCATGTTGATGCAAAATATTATAGGATTACTTTGATTGCCATAGGCAAATGAGAAATATGCAGAGGAATATTTGATGTGTAAAGATGTCTTTGGCAAGTAAAAGCCAGAAGACACCTCAAGAGCACAAATGGAGACAAATGATGAGAGAAGCACATCTTCACATGGTGGTTTACGTGTGCCAATTTGAAAGCCCCGTGCTCTACAGATTATTACTATATTTGTGTTGCAAACGGTGACTCAGCTTTGGCAAATATTATCCTCCATTATGTTAAAATAATACTGCTTATTTTAGTTATGTTTTAGAGTTTTGTTTTTCATTTGATTTATAAGGTTGAGGAAATTTTGCCTTGTTTTATGTTTGCCTATGTGTTGGAACTGGCTCAATGGCAACAGGTAATAATGTAGTTAAAATAATTAAAGTCGGCTTTAGGGTCCATTTAAATAATTTTCCTTTAAATATTTTGAAATATTTGAAGAATTTTCTCAGAATATCTTGTTTCCTATCCAAGTCTGAGCAACATTGATTTGCATTACCTATCACAGGTAAAATAATTCGTGGAATTATTGGGTTCAGTTCAGGCCTGAGGATTGGTACTGCCTGGAAAGGGTGATCATTTGGGATTGGCATGTGTCATATTGTTAATCTAGTTTTGAAACATAATTTATCTTTTTAGTTGGGGGGAGGGGGGGACTAAATCACAAACTGCAAGATTAGTGTTCCAGGTGGTTGAACTAATCAAATTCTGGTTGACTTTTTTGGATGCTGCCTCATACAAATATGAAAAAAAAAAAAAAAGCAAAGAAAAAATAAACCCTATTGAAACAGAGGAAAATTATTTTCCTAGTATGGTAAGAACAAATGATTTATGTAGCTTAGTTATCCTTTTTTCTGGACGTATTAAAGTTTTTTAAATGTCATCAATTATATACACCATATCAGTGCAAGTCATTCCATTTGAAAAGCATTACTTGGTTTTATGTTTATGGGTGGTGCATAAACCTGTGCCCCATCAAATCTTCACAGACATCATACTGTGAGTTTAAAATATCAGACAACGTATCTTTTACTGAAGTAAAAATATTGAGAAAGTAATAGGATTATGAGTTTTCTATGACAGCATTATAACATAATAAACCTTTTTATTTTCTAGAAATTGAAAAATACTGTTTGTGAATTTACCAGTTTTCTTGTTCCCTTTTCTCTTCACTGCTAGCTCCTGGATTGATGAGAAAAAACATACTGACCTCAAACTCAGATCATTTTGTTTTTCTATATGTCAATACTTTTGGTCAAAGTGTTGTTTAGGAAGGAGGCTGAAATGTGAAATATTTGTGTTTTATTTATTCAAGTAAAAGACCTGGCTACATTTACTTAGCATTCTTGCTATGCTGATCTATATTTTTAAGTCTCTAGGCTTTCTTTACTTAATAGCAAACCCAAAAGTATAGTGCATTTCACTCTTAAAATTAATAAACACTATTTCTGTCTACTGGAAAATAAAATAAAGCTAACTACAGTATGTAACTAACATTTCTGGGGAGCGGTATGGTTGAGAAGATACCACAGCCCACTGAGCAAGAGAAATGTTCTCTGTATATTATGTTACATCAAAGGTTATGTAAGATTGAAACCACAGTCACGTTCTATTCAGACAGTATCAAAAATTAACATTTATATGGATTATTGAATACATTTTAAAATAGAAAATTCAATTATGCTGTTATACTTAAGGCATTATGTGTCTATTAATAATACTCACTATCAAAAGTCATGGTAAATGCTACTGCTTCAAGTATATTGGTCTCCCTCATTAGTGCTAAACTAACTTCAGAATATCAGTATATTTTATTTGGCTGAGCCTGGGTCTGTGATACTGCACAGACTCAGACAATTAAATGATCCCATAGTCTAAATCTTAGAGCCTCTCTATAATCACACATGCAATGAACAACAGTATGTACTGGGACTCCATTCATTCTCCGTCTCAACACATTATAGAACATTAGACTAACTGAAGCCTTTATTTATATATGATTTTGCCATAATCTTCACAAAAGTACATCCCGCCATACCTGTCAACTCTTCCTAGTTGCCACCTGGGCTTCCTAAACTCTACTCCAGTCTCAGAAATCAATTCTTCCCATTGTCACAGAGAAATAGTTTGTAAATTTAGTAGCTCAATTTACTCAGCATCAAGTCAAACGTGTAGTTAGTCTGATTATGACTTTGTGATCCAATTCTAGCCACAGGGTGCCTGAGGCCAAGTTCTTAAATTCCATTGCTATACTGGTAAGTATCTGAACTCTCACCTTCATAACCTACCCAATATGCCTGCCTCTAAAACTGGAGACTTGTTCCTCCTAGTACTTCCTACAGTCTTTCCTCCAACCCTCACACCAATGTGTATCTCCTCCTTTGTTAGATCCCTGGGTAATTATATCTAATCATCCTTCATGCAATATTCACTTAGGTGAACCAAAGGTCATTCATGATGGGCTCACAATACCATGTTTCAGTTCTCTCACTGGGCATTTTCTAATCTCTCTTCCAATGGGCAAGTTCCAGATTCTGACCTCTTCCAGTCTTTGCAGGACTATGTTGATAAACCTTTCATAATCTTCCAAGGTATGGTCCATATTTTAGGCACCTTATGCATATTTTTGAATGAATTAATTATTAAGTAAATCAATATATTTAGTGGAAACATAAGTTCATTTATTTATTGGAAAATACATTCAAATATTTATTGAATTTCTATCATTTATTAATTACTTTGAAGGTTACTCTGTCTTTCCATATTGAGAAGTTTCAGGTTTCAGGATGGATACAATCTAGTTGGATATAAAAAAAAAAAATTTGGATATTAAAATAGTAGCCTAAGATTTAAATAACAGTTGAAAGGAGTCCACAAAGCAGAATATGAAAACACACAAAACTGTATTCAGAAAATATATATATGAGGTATTAAAACTTAAAATTTCAAATGTATAAATAATACATTCTTTAAAATATGGTGTCAGTAACATATGACACTTTATTTTCTTCTGGAAATTATGGTAACAGTATATTCCAGTATATAAAAACAGAACTCAGGTATTCTGCTTATTCTGCACGGGTTTTGACTTGTCAAAACTTTATCCTAAGCTTTTGACAACTTGCCTAATTTATTTATCTATTTTTTTTTAATTCGTAAAATTGGGGTAAAAAAGTAACTTCATTAGGTGATGGAAATTGAATAAGATTTTGTACGTAAAATACATGGGCATCTAGGAAGTATGGTATCTGGGAGGCACTCAGTGAATGTTACCTGTGATGATGTTATGATGATTATGATGATGATGATGGCAGTGGTGTTGGTGATGTGATGATGACAGAATCATTTGAATCTTTGAATACTGGCATTAATTTCTATTGTAAATAATTCCAAAAATTTTTATTCCTTCCCTTTTCTTTCTCTAATAATTAAGGGAAAAGGTACTTGATTTAAATGATTATAGAACTAAAGGAAACCCTGGTGACACAGTGGTTAAGAGCTACAGCTGCTAACCAAAAGGTTGGCAGTTCAAATCCACTAGGCACTCCTTGGAAACTCTATGGGGCAGTTCTGCTCGGTCATATAGGGTCTCTATGAGTTGGAATCAACTTGACGGCAATGGGTTGGGTTTGGTTTTGGTTTCTAGAACTAAAAAGTCTTTTAGGTCCTCTGTGTAATGTGTTATTCATCAATCTAAGTCATTAAAATTGACTTTCCTTGGGAGCCCTGGTGGTTCAGTGGTTAAGAGCTTGGCTGCCAACCAAAAGGTCAGCAGTTCCAATCTACCACCTGCTCCTCGGAAACCCTATGAAGCAGTTCTACTCTGTCTTATAGGGTTGCTATGAGTCAGAATCAACTCGATGGCAACGGGTTTGTTTTTTGTTTTTTTGTCCATCAGGGTTGTAAACTTCCACTTCTCATCATCTATTCTTGGCATTGTTTACATTCACCCTCCTTTACCTACAACTAGTTCAGTGCTTTTGGGATAGGTTTCTGTACTAGCAGGCTGAATATTTACTTGTTCGGTGGTTACTTTATAGGCCATCCGCAAATAGGTCAATACACATGGAGAAAATAAAGAAGCCTTTTGTAGTTTTGGTTGTTTTTGTTTTACTTTGTGTTACTGCTTTTCTTTTTTTCTTCCTTTTTATAGGAATCTCCATGCTTTTTTCTCACAGCTTTTGAAGATCACTAGTACATATCCATTTAGGTTTCTTGATCAATCGTATCCATGTTTCATACTAAAACTAATAAACTCTAGAGGTACTAGGAAGTAAAACGTTCCATAGGGATTTTCTCCTCTGGTATATTTTTGTTCAGAATGTTCTGCTCATCAAACTCATATTGGATTTTCACTTCAGCTCATTATTTCCATTACTTGGCCATTAACTTTTGTTAAAATATAATCATCCAGAGACACTCCAGCAGTGCACAAATATTAAAACTTCATTATTACATGTTCAATTTCCTGTACTTTTTGTGGATAAAGATAATCTTA